TTGCAGGTTATATTCATTTTTTCGATTCCTAAACCATGTTAAATCCCAAACGCCCTAGGACTTCATCGAGTCGTTCTCGTTCAAACCAACCTCCTAATCACGTTCCTCTTCCACCTTCATCTCTATTAGGATCTTGTTTTAACATGCCTGAGCGTCGTAGAGACGAATTGTACTCTAGGTACAGAAATTCTTTTCAAACTTATAGAATCCGGGAAGAGCGTATTCCTTCTCTTCAAGCTATGATAGATATTAACTTTGAATACCTTCCGATTCTTAATGCTTGGAAGTTTGATAAAATGTTTCAGCTCAAACCTATCGTTTATCAACAGTTAGTCCGCATTTTCTATTCCAATGCGGCATGTATTCAAAACAAAACTCAATGTGAGACTATAGCCATTAGATCATATCTTTTAGGCCAATATATTAATATTAACCCCACGATTATAGCTTCACGTTTTGGATTAGATGATGATGGGTTATATAATGAGAATGAAACTGTAGATTATCACTATGTTCCAAATACTAGTGTTAGTACTCTACGATATCATCACGATCGTTTTCTTAATCTCTTAGTGGTTTAGACCATCCGGAGATAGGTACTCCACTCTTCGTATTAGGGATTTATGGTGGATGCACTGTCTCAAGAATAAGATCAAAATCAATCTACCCCATATTATCTTCAGTCAACTAGTTGATGTCATAAACATTGTTCCTTCAAAACATGTTAAAACATTAGTTTATGGATGTCTTCTTAGTAACCTCTTTATCAAACTTGGTCTAGACATCTCTCTCGACAATCCTATCCCAATCTTACTTCCTTAAAGAAAACGGATTGGAAACAAGACGAGGAAACCGATCTTTGGGTATTTCGACCCAGTAAGAAAACCCCGGGAGCTAGCTCTTCTCGTGCTCCTCATCCTCTGGCACCGACTGCTGACGATGATCCTGAGTTTCAACAACTTATGCAAGATATCGATGATCACGTTCCAGACGACGAGCCTGCACCGGAACCAGCTCCACAAGAGGATCAAATGCCTTCATATTTTCGTTCGTTTTTGGAGACATTTGATCTACGGTATGCTTCCATCGAATCCCACTTGACTGCTACTCACGAAGCAGTAAATCAAGGCTTAGACACTTTGGAAGCTCGTCAGATGGAGTTTCAAAGGGAGATGCTTGCACGCATGGATGTTCTCTCTCTTGAGATGCAAGCCCGATTTCCTCCTCCGCCTCCCGATCCTTCTATGGATGACTAGACTTGTTTTATTTTGATTGTATTTGGGATTAAAACTTAAAACTTGGATTGATTTTGATGTTTCTGGATTGTTTAATGTTTGAATTTGTTATGGTTTGGATGATTGGAATTTGAACTTAATATAATATATATATATATATATATATATATATATATATTTGGTTTGGTTGAATTTTCTTACTTTTTGCATTATTAGATATATATGACCAATTATGCCATTTCACATTTGTTTGTGAATATTGATTATGAAACTAATGGCTAATATCTCTTTTGATTGTGATCTTAGCAGCTTAAGCTATATATGTATTTAATCAATTGGCTATGTTTTTCAAAACCTTGTTTACAAACGTTTTAAAATCTTTTTGATTTAACAAAAAGGGGGAGAAATGTTAAGTGTTAAAATGTTTTAAAAGGGAGAAGTGCTATAGTAAGGGGGAGTAATTTTTCAAAATTGATTTCAAATTTTTAGAAAATCTTAAAATAACACAAATGTTTTGTTATATCAAAAGGAGGAGATTGTTGAAAACATTTTTGTGTTTCGATATAACAAATTAAATTTAAATGAATTTTAAGATTTTACAAATGATTTTCTAAGTATATTTGATTTAATTAATCGAATATCAAATTATCACTCCAAGTCTTTCAAGTTCAAATTCAAACATTACTAAATGTATAAAATTGTGTTTTATACTTAATATATTTTTGAAACAATTTTCACAAAGTATTTTGAACCAAAATCAAGCCTAAAATCAATTTTTTAGAGTGATGCACCGATGCACCAATCCATGCATCGATGCACCATGAATTAAATTGAACATCGAATGCATTTCATGCATCGATGCACATACCATGCATCGATGCACTGAGGATTTTATGAAAACATCGAATGCATTTGATGCATCGATGCACTCTGGCTATTTTGAAACATCGAATGCACTTGATGCATCAATGCACTCTTAGTTCACCGATGCACTAAGGGTCCAACGGTCAAAATATTTGAATTTTACACCGATGCACCATGAGTATGCATCGATGCACTGACGCTCCCAACTGAATTTATTAATTGTTTTCACACTTAAACGGCTCTATTGACTCCACTAAGCATCCCCAACGTTCAGAATCATTTGAATCTGTATTTAAACAAGTTCTGAAGCCATTGATCAACAACAAGAAAGAAGAAATCATAGAGAAACAAGAGAGAAAGCATCAAACATCAAGTTTGTGCAAATCAAGTCAAATTTCCTTTCAATATTCATTTTGCTTTTAAGAACACAATTTGTGCTCAATTGTAATTATCTTTGAGTGTTCTTATCGTGTTCTAGAATTGTGCAAACATATTGTCTTGTGAGGTTTTCCTTGTAAGTTTGCAAATTTGTGTATTTCTTTTTGAAAAAGAGTGTGCTCAAGAATTAGGGTATAATTCTTGAGGGAGTTGTAAGGTTACTATTTATCCTCAAAAGAAAGAACAAATTAGTGAATTTGTTGGAAAATCCTTAGTGTGGATAGCTAAGGTAGTGGACGTAGACTTTGGTTGAGAAAGTTGAACCACTCTAAATCGTTGTGCAAATCTTTTCAATTTTCTGCAAAAACTTCCACCAAAATTTTAATTGTCAATTCAACCCCCTCTTGGCCGACTCCGTTGATCGATTAACTCAACAATATTTCCGCTTTTATTTCACATTCTCACTAATCTGGTTATAAGAAAATTACTTGTTTCTCGTTTATTTCCCAACAAACTGGCCATTTGAAATCCTAAGCTTCATTCTTGATGCAGCAGCGCCATCTTCATCATCGCTGGCACGAGAGCGTGAATCTCTCTCGGCCTCAGTTTCATCACCCACATGCTCTCTCTCTCGTTTTTCTTTCCACTTAAACTAGAGACAGTGCTGTTGGGGGACGACATCCCACCTTCCTCCTCGCAATCAGCTGTTGCCACATCCATTCCTTTTAGAAATGATCTTGTATCCAAGTGTGCATCTGCATGCATTTCTTGGGAATCACAAAATTCGTTGCATCAATCAGAAAACTGATGGCTATTTGTGGTAGTGTGTGTACTGTTTGGAAACCGCATCAAGCTTGATGTTATTGGTAATAATTAACTGCAGACCATATTTAGAATGGTGTAAACAGAAAAGAACAACTACATGTTAATGTGTTATATCTAAGTGCAGGATCAATTACTGCAGTATCTGGGTTATCACCAATGATATCGGCATTGTCAGTTAACCCAAGCAAGTCCACATCTCCCATTTACTTGCTTCCTCGCTTTCAAGCCCATAAATCTGCCACACAGCGAAATTGGAGAGTGCCACTGGAAGCTCCCTCTCAGAAATGGCTGCTACATGTTGGCAATGCTTTTGAGGTTAAGGATGTTGATGGTAATTCAGAGATCAAAATCCAAGCTTGTGCTTGTTCTTATCAATGGTTCAATTTCCAAAAATTATTTGGTAAGTGGGTTTTTGCATAGATTATGGACAATACTTTGACATCTTACATAATATTGGAGCATGTTATATGCTGTTATTGTGACAGGATATAATTGGCAAAGTGGTCAACTCGATCCCTCAATTATGAATGTAAAACAAGGTGATGAGCTACCACACCTTGTTCAGATATCAATAAACTTGGACTCTAATGGCAACTGACAAGAATGTTTAATGGAGAGGTTGAATGCATGGAACAAACCATCGGATTTTCCTGTTATCTACCCAGAGGTTTCAGGCAAAAAGAATGCATGCATTTATGCATCAACTTCATCAGGGTCAAGGCAAGCGTTGCCTCATTTTCCGTTTGATATGGTAGTTAAGATAAACTTGTCAACCAAAACAGCCAGTACATGGTCTGCAGGGGCTCGTAGATTCATTGGTGAGCCTATTTTTGTCCCCAAAGGAACTGAAGAAGAAGAAGATGGGTACATTCTTGTGGTCGAGGTCAGAAACCTACACAATAAACTCTCCTCCCTCTATTTTTCTTCTTTAGATAATAATGTTTTGTTTCACTTTGCCAGTATGCAGTTTCAATACAGAGATGATCTTGTCATTTTGAACCCTAAGAGGATAGGAGAAACTGATGCGGTTGTAGCAAGACTTGAAGTCCCCAAGCACTTGATCTTCCCTCTCGGCTTTCATGGTTTCTGGGACAATACCTAAATTGTAAATATGTAAACGGTGGTATATTAAAGATGAACACTATATGATCATTTGCTTGTACCTTCTTTTAAGAAATGCATGAATTTCCTAACTCCATTAAGGCGTGTTATGTTTAAGCAATAAATTCCCATCAAATAAACTGAAACTGGTTGGTCTTTGGATGCAATATAATGAAGATTATTGGTACCACCGTCGAGGAATGAGGGATGTTTGTTGGAGAGTCTTCACAAACCGTGCACTTCTTATTGCCTGTTAGGATTCAAACTCTTATCTACAGCTCCCTTCAAAGTTCAAAATTCAAACGGAGAGCGAGAATTATGAATTGAAAAAGTCAAATGACAGGTGTCAGGTTTTGGATGATCCCATGTTTTCTGCAAACTAACAAGTGAATACCAACCTCACTGCAGATCTTTCGGTTGTGAAGATGATATGTAAATAAACAAAAAGGGTGGCTTCTCTTTTCTCTTAAAAATATTTCTGTTTCCATAACTTCACAATCTGAATCACCCAAAGTAATTGTGCAGTAGCCAGCTTCAGATCGTCAACATTACCAATATAGTTTTAACGAGTCTCCGGCCGAATTGCTCTTTGATTCAATGGCCAAAGACCCAGTTAGAGTTTTAGTAACTGGTGCCGCTGGTATGTGATGTTCTCCTTCTTTATCAGTGCCGACGTGCACTTTCTTTATATCAGTATAACCTTAATGAGTACACTTAAATATGATTAGATTATGCATCCAGATCGTGGATCGGTCCAATACAAGGATTGAAACTGCATTTGTTGATTTTATAAAATGTAATTCCATTGGATACTCTTCTCCTATTCATTTAACAAGAAAGGAATATGATTTTATTTGCCTCAAAATGTTTTTTTAAACATATATATATATATATATATATATATATATATATGTGTGTGTGTGTGTGTGTGATTTTGTGTTTATATAATCACAAAATTCAAAAAAAAATTATAGATTTGATTTTGTAATGTACTTTTTCATTGTTAGTTGAAAAGGTTGATTTTGTTGAACAGGGCAAATTGGGTATGCTCTTGTTCCTATGATTGCGAGGGGGGCAATGTTAGGCCCTGATCAGCCTATAATTCTTCACATGCTTGATATCGAGCCAGCAGCAGAGGCCTTGAATGGAGTCAGAATGGAACTAGTCGATGCTGCCTTTCCTCTTCTAGGGGGTATGCCCTCATGGTTCACACTTGTTTCAGTGATTTGAAAATCATATCCTTGGATATTTCCTTAATGATTTTCTTTCTGGTTTAATCTATTTTGCAAGATGTTGTTGCCACCACCGATGTCACCGTGGCGTGTAAAAGTGTGAATGTAGCAGTGATGGTGGGTGGATTCCCACGGAAGGAAGGTATGGAAAGGAAGGATGTGATGTCGAAAAACGTATCAATCTACAAGGCTCAAGCTTCAGCTTTGGAGAAGCAAGCTGCTCCAGACTGCAAGGTGAGAGTGTCTGCCAGTGCCACTGCTTCCTTTTATCAGGTTGACGCATTAATAGTTGTTTGTGTTTACAATTCAGGTACTAGTAGTTGCCAATCCAGCAAACACAAATGCACTTATCTTGAAAGAATTTGCACCTTCGATCCCAGAGAAAAACATCACTTGCCTTACCCGTCTTGATCATAACAGAGCACTAGGCCAACTCTCGGAGAGGCTAAAGATTCATGTGGGTGAGGTGAAGAACGTAATCATATGGGGCAATCACTCCTCAACTCAATACCCAGATGCGAATCATGCAACTGTCACAACCGCCAATGGTGAAGAGAAGCCTGTCAGAAGTGTTGTAGCAGATGAAAATTGGTAGCATAAACTCTTTTCAGAATTGTTTTGCGTAATATATGTTGATAATTGTTGATGGCATGCTCATAGGTTGAACACCGAGTTCATTACCACGGTGCAGCAGCGTGGTGCAGCCATTATCAAAGCTCGAAAGCTATCGAGTGCATTATCTGCAGCAAGTGCTGCTTGTGATCATATTCGTGATTGGGTTCTTGGGACTCCTAAGGTCGTTTCAATCTCAATTATTTATGATTCACCAATCACCATAAACTAGTCTACATAGTGTAACTCAATTAGATAAGTTTGGGTGATGAATCAGGGAACATGGGTATCCATGGGAGTGCATTCGGATGGATCTTACGGAATTCAGGCTGGAATTATTTACTCTTACCCAGTCACATGTGATAAAGGACAATGGTCAATTGTTCAGGGTACGCTTTACATGAGATTGACAATTTCTTTTCTTTCTCCCATCTAAATGAAGGCTTGATTGAGAATAATTTGCAGGGCTGAAGGTAGACGATTTCTCAAGAGAAAAGATGGATGCAACAGCGAAAGAGCTTGTGGAGGAGAAAACGCTGGCTTATTCCTGTCTTAACTGATGAAGAAGAAGAAGAAGTCGGAGGGAGGGGAGAATATTACCAAATAAATCCATGAAAAATAAATGGAGGATATCTTCTCCTATCCAGGCCAGTTTATGTTTATTTATTTTTTTGAAATTATTCATATTAAATAAATTATACTGGATAACTTGGTTTATGGAGCCTGTGAATGCTCAAAGAAGATCCACACAAAGGGCATTCCCTCGATTAGAAAATATGCTTAAATTATACTAAATATGTTTAAGCAATGAAGGGTTTAAGGATTTTGTTGTGGTTGCGATTTACCTCACATCTACTGGTCATTTTCTTTGTAGTACCACTCAATTTCGCCTAATTTGCAACTATCATTGCTTCTTGTTCTGCAAGTTTGAAAATGGTGTAGCAATGTTTGCATAATGATTCATTGTGTGTGATAATCTGATTGGCTCTCACCACAGCATGATTCATGTATTTGCATTACTGTTTTTACTTTCTGGTTTTTTTTCCTATGCATGTAATTAGACGGGCTTTGAGACGATCCAAATTGCTACTTTTTCAATTGCTTAATTTCTCTTCCTTGTGAACGTTTGTCGGTAGACAGGTGAGACATTAATGTCACCCATTGCAACCAACATTAATCTTAAACGGCAGTGGCATACATGCAACTTTTTCAAAAAGAATTAGTTGAGGTTTCAGGTTATCCAACTTTAGTAAGAAACAGAAAAAAAAGTAATGACTAATTCATAATTATTATCATTAAAAATAGGTTTAATATAAAAATAACTCTTTAAATTATATCGTTTTTTCTATTTAGATGTCTAAACTATTTTTAGATCAATTCATATGTCTAACGTTATAAATATTATTATTTTAAGTATTCCGATCGTTAAAAAATTTCGTTAAATGATATGTTTAGGTAATTTTAAAGTTTTATTTAAAAAACTTTAAATAAAATATTATGTTTAAAAAGAAATTCACTCGTCCCCTTCCTTCAATTGCAGGTTCAATTGCAAAATCAAATTTTCTTTTAATTTTCAAGGATTTGTCGTCGATAGCTATTAAAACGTGTTTAGAAAATTGAATGGGGATTTGGACAGTTAGGGGTAACGGCCAGGGTATAATTGGTACTGGAATTCGATAATCGATGATAGACGTTGATGACAACGGCAACGGCAACGGCAGATGGCCGACAATGAAGTTGATAATTTAAATTTGAGTTTTTATTTTATTTTAAAAACTTTGATTTTTTTTATAAATATAATAATATTTTTAAAAAAAATAGAATGAAATTTTGAAAAATTATATAAATGTGACACATATTACTTAACAGAATATTTTAACGGCTATTACGACGTAGACACTTAAAATTAGGATTGTAAATGAAACGAGACAGATTATGAGTTATTCGAGATCGACTCGATCAAATCTCGATAAATACTTAAATCGAATAAACTCGACTGGAGTTCGAGTTCTTAACGAGCTACTTGATACTTAACTTGAAAAACTCGCAAGCAACTCAAAAGAAATAATATATTAAAATTTTATTTTTTAGAAAATTCAATTATTAATAATATTAATATTTATATGTTGATTTTTTTCAAATGGAGTATAAAGTTTTTATTTACTTAATGTTTATGTTCGAGTTTTAGCTTTAACCGAGTTAAATTTAATTTTTTTATCCCGAACCTTTATGAGCTTCAATTTATGATTTCGAGTTTAAATCTAACTTAAAAATTTTAAACTCATGAATTTTAAAATAAAATAGAGCTTCAATTTAAAATTTTAGAGTGGAGTTTAATGATATTCAAGCTCAACTTACCTTGTTTACAATCCTACTTAAAATGTAATTTTTATAATGTTACGCAACCGAAAAAAAAAAATTGAAACACTCAAAATGAGGAAAAATTATTATGGTTTAAACATTTATTTTTATATTAAACCTATAAAATAGTGTCATGTGACATTCCGTACAAGAGAGTCAATGTCGGCTTTCACCAAATGCTACCAGACGATTATTGTACTCTTTTCTTTTGGACTGTCATCTCTCTCTCTCTCTCTCTATGCATTAAATTTTTTTCTCTGTGAATTTTCTTTTTCTTTTTTAATCTTCTAATCTTATTATTTTTAAGTATATATTCATTAATGGCTGTGCCTGATTGGTTGTTATGCTTATATACTTGGGTTTTGTACTTATTGTTGGCCTTGAGGCTGTAAAATGGAACTCACAATATTACCCATGTTCAATTCGATTAAAAAAATTTAAAATAAAATTTAATTCGATTAAAAAAATTATGATTTTAAAATTTTAAGTTCGATTTGAACTCAAAATTATGAATTTAAACTCGTAAAAATTCGAAATATAAAAAAAACTTCAACTTAACTTAGTTAAAACTCAAATTCAAACTTTAACTATAAGTACATAAAAATTTTATACTGTATTTTTTTAAAAAAAATCAACACATAAATATTAATATTATTGATAAATTAATTTTTTTAAATAAAATTTTAATTTATTATATTTTTGAGTTACTCACGAATTTTTTGAGTCGAATATTAAATAGCTCGTTTTGACTCGTTAAAAACTCAAATTAAATAAATATCAAACTTTAATTGAATTAATCTCAAATAACACACGATTTATCTGGTCTCGTAGATATCCATCATATGCTATTATACAGCTGAATCTCTGCTTATATTGAAGACTAAAAACAAATGCATCAGGATGACGTTTAAGTGACATGATATGGAATTGCAGTTGAAAGAATGATTAACATGCGAAAGGCTCCCTCTCTTACACCAAATGCTATATCCCTACATTCACTTACTTTTGATTGATTAGACGAGAGAGTCCCGTACATGCAAACTAAAGTGGAAGTGGGTTTAAGCGCCTACCAATATTGTTATCTTCATTTTAATTACACTTGAGCTAGTAGAAAGTGTTCCTATTTTAACCTAGCTAAACACAGCATGTCAATTTCTTGGCTTTCCTCACATCTTTATAATACCAAACAAAGCACGGTTTTTCGTTATCTAATTCAACATCAGCTGCATTAAGAGCCCCACAAGGAGGGACCCAAACAAACCACGAAACTACTCTCTCTATATAAAAAAAGGGTTGAGTTGAAAAGTATAGTAATTACATTCCACCACTTGGTTGGATGTTTGATTCTTATGTGTATTTTGTTTTAACTCAAAATATTATATAAGAATGTGGTCCTAGTGAATACTACTTCAACTATATAGAAATGCGTCACACACATAAAGACAGGGAGGGATTAAATTAACAAGTAGTGAATGATGATCCTATTATGGTATTTCTGATCAAGAGGTAATTCGGAGCATAAGTTTTACACTGCAGAAAAGGAAGCCGTCCACACGGTCACGCATTACTGTATCCAGACTGAAACCCAAGAGATGCCCCATATTTCCTAACTAGTTGGACTAGGAAAGGAAATCACTACGGCTTATGACAACCAAATGTCTAAGGAAAGACATTTTAATATAAGATTAATAAAAGACGTTATTAGAAATAGTAAATTTTTTTAAATATTTTCAATAAACGTTACTTAAAATATTATTTTTTTATCAAAAATATTTATTTTAGATAATAAAATTAATATTTTTGATAAAAAATAATATTTTATATAATATTATCAAAAATATTAAAAAAATATTAACATTTTTGTATAGTATTTCCTTATCATCATAACTACCCCATTTCCCTACTTTTTTTTTACACTGAATTTCATTGGTGTCCCCACCAACAAGTAGCCATCAACATCATCTGCCTTAAAACGTAATTTCCTCATTAATCACCCCTGCACAAGCCGACTCATTACCCAGTTTCTTGCATTCTGACTGTAGAGAAAGAGAGAGGCAGAAAGGGCTAAACCAAACTTGTCATTTTAGAGACAAAAAGACACAAAACGTACGTCGGAAAGGTGCGGTTTTAAGAGGAGGTGATATGAGCGAGCTTTAAAACACTAATGGGAGGCTTCATGAACGTTCCCAAAAGAGCGGTGGAGGCCTGAATAGTTGAGCTCCGTCATTGGGAGTTGATTTCATCCACTGCCTGTAACAATGTAAGGTTATCTCTAAAACCACCTTCAACACCCACAAAAGCTTTGACACTAGTCTCCTCATGCAACTCAAAAAACCTACCCCACCCCAAACCACTTTTTTTTCTTTTGAATTGCTTATCTATTATAGTATTATGTATATGAATGCTGACACATTTCCATCTTTCTCTTTTTATTCTTTCTTGTTGACTGACCATTAGCTGCAATCATACTGACAAAAAAAACGTCACCATAACCTCGCCGGAATAAGGGAAGACAGAGGGTTTCCTTATCTTTGCAAAATCAAAATAAAGTGTCATGGTTGCACCTGAAATTTATGAGAAAGGGTTGCAGAAACAGAAGAAGAGGTAGGTTTACAAAAAAAGATTCTCAATTTTCATTCATAAAACCTTCATTTTGATTACAATCCAAATATATTTTAGACTGTTCAATTATTTATTGACAGCTATGATATTCTTTAACAACTCTAACTGTTGTCCTTGCTTCTTCAGCCATGACTCATCCTTCCTGAATCCTTGCTGGCTGTTGTAACTCCATTTCTTCTTCAATTTTAACTGCATCAGGTAATTTCTTCATTTCCCCTCTTTTATAATTACAAATCCCTAATTCTCCTTCCAAATTCCCAATTTCCTGACTCGTAATCCCTAATTCTTGACCCCCAATCCCTAATTTTTCCTCCAGGGCAATGATAATACCTCTTCCTGCAGTCGATGCTTGTCCCCAAGGATCAAAGTCATGGAACTGTGATTTTAACACCGTAAAGTCTTCCCATATAGCATTTTCTGGTCCCAAATTCACCCACTGGATTAATAATTGAGTTATTGCTTTTTTGTCTTTCTTCACCATTCGTTTGTCTAATACCAGGAGTGGATAAACACGAAGCTGACCATCCGTATTGACCTCGGGTGGGTCTCGAGAGGTAACTATCTTGTTCTCAATTTTCTTCTTCAACAAACTAATATGGAAAACAGGGTGTATTTTGGAGTTATCAGGTAGTTGTAATTTGTAAGCCACTGAACCAATTCTTTCTATGACTTTGTAGGGCCCATAATACCTTGCAGACAACTTCAAATTTTTCTTGAGGGCTACTGATGTTTGCCTATAAGGCTGTAGCTTGAGGTAAACTTCATCACCAACCTGAAACTCTTTATCACTTCTCTTTTTATCAGCATAGTGTTTCATGCGTTGTTGTGCTCTGTCTAGTTGGTCTTGTAGGACAGTATTCATTTTATCCCTTTCTTGTAATAACTGTTGTACATCTGCCACTCTAGAGTCTGTTAACCATGTCATAGTAGGGGGAGTATATCCATATAAAGCTGTAAATGGGGTTGTTCCCAAGACAGTATGGAAACTTGTATTATACCACCATTCAGCTTGTGATAACCACTTACTCCAATTGCTAGGCTTCATAAAACACATCCCACGCAAATACTATTCCAAACACTGATTCAATCTTTCTGTTTGGCCATCAGTTTCTGGATGGTAGGCTGTAGTGAATAGGGCCTGTGTTCCTAGTAACTTCATTAATTCTGTCCAAAATAGGCTGGTAAAAATCTTGTCCCTATCTGATAAAGCTATCTTTGGTTGCCCATGTAGTTTATAAATCTGATCCAAATAAATTTTAGCAACATCTGCTGCAGTAAAAGGATGTACCAAGGGTAGGAAATGTGCATACTTGGTAAACTTATCAATAATAACTAGGATACAATTGTACCTGTTAGAAGTGGGAAGACCCTCAATAAAATCCATTGTAACAAATTCCCAAGCTTGTTGGGGAATTGGGAGAGGTTGTAGTAGCCCTGGTTTCAACACATGTTCATCTTTAATTCTTTGGCAGACATCACACCGCTGCACATAACTCTTAACCATGTTTTTCATCCCTTTCCAATAGAAATAGGATTTCACCCTGTGGTAGGTAGCTTGTACCCCTGAATGACCACCTTGGGGTGAGTCATGTAGAGCTTGTAAGATCTGTTGTCTTAAGGGACCAGTCTTTCCAATATAAACCTTACCCTTGTATCTTAGGATACTTTTAGAGTAAGTCCAGTCTGCTGTATCCTGGTTATAGATAGCTAATTTAGTGACCAATTCTGTCACCATAGGATCATTTATGTAACTCTGTTCAACCTCCTGAACCCAAGTAGGAATGACAACAGTAGCAGTCATTTGCTGTAATTCTACTTCATCCTCATCTCTCCTAGATAATGCATCTGCAGCCAAATTGTGTTTGCCCTTTCTGTACTGAATAACATAATCCAGTCCCAACAATTTTGTAAGCCCTTTTTTCTGTATTGAAGTGGTTAGCTTTTGTTCCAACAAATGCTTAAGAGCTTCATGGTCTGCCTTAATAATGAAAGGCCCTCCCTCCAAGTAATGTCTCCATTTAGAAATAGCCATGAGTATGGCTAAAGATTCTTTTTCATAAATGGATAAATCCACTTGTTTAAGTCCCAAAGCCTTGCTGAGATAAGCCACTGGTCTACCCTCTTGAGATAACACTGCCCCTATTCTTCTAGAACTTGCATCTGTTTCCAAACAGAAGCTTTTACTGAATCATATAGTGCTAAGACAGGAGCTTGACACATTGCATTCTTTAAAAGTTCAAAGGCAGTTGTACTCTCTTCAGTCCATTGAAACTGATCCTTCTTAAGCATGATAGTCAAGGGTTTGGCAATCTCCCCATAGCCTTTTATAAATCTTCTGTAGTATCATGTCAACCCCAAGAAACCCCTTAAGGATTTGAGAGTTTTTGGCAACTTCCACTGCTGCATTGCCTGTATCTTTGCTGGATCAGTAGCCACTCCTTGCTTAGAAATAATATAGCCCAAATATTCCACCTCTTTTTGGCCAAAGAAACATTTTGTTCTTTTTGCAAACAACTGATTCTATTTGAGAACTTCTAAAACAGTCTTAAGATGCCTAACATGGCTCTTCAGATCAGAACTGTAAATGAGTATGTCATCAAAGAAAACCAGTACAAATTTTCTTAAATAAGGTCCAAACAACTTGTTTATTAATGCCTGAAAGGTGGCTGGGGCATTTGTTAATCCAAAGGGCATAACCTTAAACTCAAAGTGACCATGGTGGGTCCTAAAGGTTGTTTTAGTAATGTCTTCAGGAGTGACTCTAATTTGCCAGTACCCTGACCTTAAATCTAATTTAGAAAAGTAGGTTGCTCCAGTCAACTCATCCAGCAAATCTTCCACCACAGGAATTGGGAACTTGTTTTTTACAGTCAAGGCATTCAATTGCCTATAATCTATGCACATCCTCCAACTTCCATCCTTCTTTTTCACCAACAAACAAGGTGAGGCAAAAGGCCTTTTACTGGTCTGAATTATGGAAGAAGACAACATTTCTTTAATTTGTTTTTACACTTCTGACTTATGATGATAGGGCATTCTGTAGGGTCTAATGTTCACTGCTTCTGTACCTTCTTTTAGTGTAATGGAATGATCATATTCTCTTGGGGGTGGCATCCCTTTTGGTTCTTCAAAAATGACTGAATATTCTTCTAATAAACCTTGTAGTTCAACAGGTACCATATCAGTACTAACTTCCCCACTTAACATAAAAATTTCCCCTGATATGTCACTGTTCTTCTCCATCAACTTCTGCAACTTATTGTCTGATATCAGTTTAACAGTAGGTGAATTCTGCCCTCCTCTTAAATTAATTTTTTCCTCATCTTTTTGAAAGCTCAAGGTCATATGATTGAAATCCATCAATAAGAGACTATACGTTTTCATCTAGTCTACTCCTAGGACCATGTCACTCCCTTCTAGAGTTAGAACTCTAAAATCATATTCAAATTGAGAACCCTGCATTCCTCATTTTAACTTTTTACTCATGGTTGAACTGTATAACTTCTCACCATTAGCAATTGTAATAGTCAAGCGATGAGTTTGCTCCAATTTCACTCCTTCCTTGGACCATTGATCAGTTATAAAGTTGTGTGTGCTTCCACTATTTATGAGAATATTTAAAGGTTTTCCTGCTATGTGCCCCTTTATTCTCAATGTGTTGTAGCCTGTCTGGCCTGTTATGGCATTAATAGAAATTTCCAATTCTCCTTCCACAGGATCTGTTGTCATTACCTCATTATTTCCTGTTTCCAGATTTTCCATCTCTCCTATATCATCTAACTCCTCCATTAAATGTAACTGCTTAACATTACATTGGTGTCCTGGACTGAACTTCTCTCCACATTTATAACACAGTCCATGTGTCCTCCTATATTCCACCAATGATGGTTTACTCTGGATTAAATTCTGGGCAGTTCCTTTTTGTGATTGATTCAAGGTAGTTTGAGGACCCTTGTAATTGAGGCTCTGTCCTGTAGATACTACTCTAGGCTGGAACCTCAGTTTCCTATTTTCCACATCCCAGGTTAATTCAACCAATTTAGCCAATCTAAAAGTAGTGGTTAAAGTTGTGGGATTATGAACTTTAACCATGTGCTTAATTTCTTCTTTCAATCCACTCATGAAACTAGAAACAAAATACCCTTCCTCCAAGAATGGGCTATACTGCAGCATGTAAGACCTCAACTCCTCAAACTTTTCATGATAATCTTCTACAGAATTCTTTTGAATCAGCTTGTTAAACTCTTCCACAATGTCATTACAATTTTGATCACATAATCTGTGACATATATCTGTTGTAAATTCATGCCAGTTCACCTTATGTTTTTGAGCTATATAACCATCAAACCAGGTCTCAGCCTTCCCTGTCAAATACATTGTAGCTAATTCTACTTTCTGACCTTCAGGTACTCTAAAAATCGAGAAACACTTCTGACATTTTTTACCCAGCTTCTAGGATTTGTTCCATCAAACATTTGGAGTTCTATTTTTGGTCTGAAAACATAGCTTGAATGAACATCTTCCCCAATGGATGATTCTTCCATTTCTGTTGTATTTCCTCCCATTTTCACTTTTTGTATATCTAAAGTAGCATGAGGTTGATTTTCACAAAGTGGAGGTGTATTAAGAGGTTTAGGTGCTAATATTCCAGGTTCACCAGTCGTAAAAGTATACTTCTCATGCTCATTTAAAACTGTAACCAAACATGGAAGCTTACCTTCATTTTTGTTTTGCTTTGCAGCTGCTGGTGGTTGACTCCTTTCTGATCGAGGTGAATCTTTTTCCTCAGCTGCCTGATTAACCAGCTATAGGATTCTCTGCAAATAACCTCTGTTTTCAATCATTCCTTCTTCCAATGTTTGTATCCTTCCCTCTAGCTCTGCTTTCTGTCCAGCCCACCAAGATGATAAGGCCTCTTCATCCTTAACCTCCATTGATTATTCTGGTACCTCCACGGTTCTAGTCTTTTGCATTTTTTTAATCCTACCCAGCGTGTAAATTTGTTTGGGATCACTAATCACTAACTTAGCTCTGATTACCAATTGTCAAGGTTGCACCTGAAATTTGTGAGAAAGGGTTGTAGAAACAGAAGAAGAGGTAGGTTTATAGAAAAAGATTCTCAATTTTCATTCATAAAACCTCCATTTTGATTATAATCCAAATATATATTTTAGACTGTTCAATTATTTATTGACAGCTATGATATTCCCTAACAACTCTAACCGTTGTCCTTGCTTCTTCAGCCGTGACTCATCCTTCCTGAATCCTTGCTGGCTGCTGTAACTCCATTTCTTCTTCAATTTTAACTGCATCAGGTAATTTCTTCATTTCCCCTCTTTTATAATTACAAATCCCTAATTCTCCTTCCAAATTCCCAATTTCCTGACTCGTAATCCCTAATTCTTGACCCCCAATCCCTAATTTTTCCTCCAAGGCCATGACATAAAGATGTTGGAATATGAATGGGGAAACCCCACAACGCTAATATTATCGCGTGAAGACCCTAACCAAGAACCCGACCCAAATCGTCAGATTTTCGATCACTATGCTACAAACGTAGCGACCAGGCAGCAATCTTTCAACGAAACTATCCTTTCCCATCAACACAACGCTGTTTTTGCAAACCAAAACCCATTCCACAACCCTAACCAAGATCAAACTCATCATGACACTCATTCCCAACCCCACGCCAATCTACACTCCCTATACGACCCACGCACCTACTCCGGCGCATCTGCTCACTCCACACCCCACGCTCCCCACCCTTCATTGCTCTCTCTCAACCCTGTTTCCGGAACCGGAGAGTGTGGAGGCGGTTACTTTCTGGTTCCTAAGACCGAGCCAGTGTCTAGACCTGTTGACTTTAATGCGAGGATTGGTCTCAACTTAGGTGGCCGTACGTATTTTTCATCTACAGAGGATGACTTTGTGAGCCGGCTTTATCGCAGGTCTAGACCGGGAGATCCCAGTTTGATCAACTCCCCCAGATGCCAAGCCGAGGGTTGCAATGCTGATCTTAGCAACGCCAAGCACTATCGACGACATAAAGTGTGCGAGTTCCATTCAAAAGCCTCCACAGTCATCGCCGCCGGCTTGACTCAACGATTCTGCCAGCAGTGCAGCAGGTTGGAAAATTTAACCAATATGCCATTTCCCATTTTTGCAGTTATAATCATAGCGATGTATGCTCAGAATGATGGAACTGCCCCTGTAGATGTCTGTGAAGGCCAATGATCGGCTACCCGTACATAGGGTGATCCCGAGGGTATATACTATACACTTCCCTAAGAGCTCCATGTTCTTTCCATCTACGTATCGTTTGCAGTGCACTTATTATAGTAGGATGCTATCATGTTAGTGTATTAGCTGTGAGCGTTAAAATACAGAAACACCCTCTGCATGCATTCATATTTTCACTCTCTATCAGTTTTCCCAAAATCCTTTTTTTCCTGCTGCTAGTATTTGTATCTCCAGTTATTTTATGGATGATGATTGAGCTGACAATAGTGCCCCATCAATCATATTCTCAGACTAATGATTTTCATTGGTCTAGAATTAAAAATAGTTAATAATTACCACAATCAGTGCTTAGCTTGATTAACGTTGGTCGGTTCGTACAGATTCCATCTCCTCTCAGAGTTCGACAACGGGAAGCGTAGCTGTCGAAAGAGATTAGCAGGTCATAATCGTCGAAGGAGAAAATCTCAACAACAGCAGCAGAACCAACAAGAACCCAATAATCAGGAAAACCAGGTGAAGCTTGAAAACGGTCGGAATTCCTCTGATAACCACCAAAGTAAAGTCGTTTTCAGAAAGCTTCTCTCTGTAAATATACTTTTTTTGAGGTTTGTTCTTGGTATTAAACGTGTTGTTTCGTTTTGGTGATATTAATAGGGTCACCGCAGCCGTCGGATGCTGGGGTTCAGTCTTCCTCATCGGTAACAGAGGCAGTTTCGCCGCCGCGAATGTCATTGGATTATTTCAGGCAAAGTCCTTATAATGCAACGGTATCTTCATCATCATCATCGCCACCAAGCACATTTTTTTTCTCAAATGGATGATTAGTACTAGTGATAGGTGAGATGCCATTGAAGTTGCATATCGAGATTTGAAATAAGCCAAATAATTAGCTTTTTTTAATAAACTTTTTCTTTCTTTCTTTCTGAAATTTCAGTGTTTTGTGTCAAAAATATTTGTCGGTGTTTGATTGTACTATAAACATCAACGACTTTGGACCAATGGAAGATATAATTTTTTTGGCTGAAAATATATTCGTAAACTCGTAGTTACATTATGTGTAGCTTGAATTGCAATTTGCAGTGTTTATGTTAATTTTGTGCATGGTAGACTTTGTGTAGTTTAGTAGAATTATAATTTAGCAAGGAACAGTATGCCAAGTTAGCGCGCACGTGTCAGGTTTACTTGTTGCGTTATTGGAACGTGATTGTTAGGTACTAGAATTTTGGCTGAAATTGCAGTGTGCAGTCATGATATATGCAAAGAAAAGAAAAGAACAAAAAGCAAAGTTATGATGTAAATGAAAATGCAGTGTGCAGTCATGACATATGATTAATGGTTAACAAAGTTATGATGTAAATGAGAATTTTAGCTATGTAGAAATGAATTACATAAATTGAAATTGTAAGTGATGGAAGAGAAAGCCCGAGAATGAATAATGTATGCATGTTGAATGTTGATGATGGTGGGTTTTCGCTTTACACGCAATGAGAATACGTAATTCTAAAATGATGGCTTCAGTCCTAAGGAATTTTCTCAAGTGAAAACAACAAATCAAAGAGCTGTAAGCTGATAATGCACATATAGTTGTGGACAGCGCCGGCTACTTCACGAATTCCTTTTCCACTGAAATAAATTGATAAAACACACCACTATATCGTGTTTACATGATTTTTGTAACCAAGCGGCTGGTTTAGACCTAGAAGAGAGATATCACATGCATCTTAAAGTACCAAGATTTTGTAAAACATTTTTTTGTTTTGGTTAAGAAAGAAACTAAGGAATGGGATGTAGCACTCTCAAGACTTTATTGATAAAACCTCTAATATCCCAAAAGAGACGAGGTCATATATATACAAGAGGAGAGGTGATGATGAAGCACTGCTGAGATCACTAACGAACTCCTAATAGCTCAACCGCCTCATAACAAAAAGCTCCAGTACAGTACAACAATCCTATTTGCACTTGGAGTGAACCATACTCATAACATTCACCCTACTTCCTAAGATCAAGAAATCCTTCAAGGAAAAACAACCGCACAGAAAAATACCACTACAAAACAACAGGAAAAACAACAAACAAGCCAACTATAATACCTCAACAAAACCATTCACACTATGGCCCGAACCTTTAACTTCCCTAGAAAAATGATTAAACAAAACCCCTCATTATAGTTTTGTCAAAATGTTAGCAACTTGCTCATAAGCAGGCACTTCATTAACCATCATCAGTTGACCTGATGTAACTTTCTCTCTAACAAAAAAATAGATCCATCTCAACGTGTTTAAACATTGAATGCATATCCAGATTAGCAGAAACTGCCACAACACTATAATTATCACACCATAAGACTGGCTTGACCTCCGAAATAACATGCAACTCTTTAAGTAAGAATTCTAACCATAATACCTCAGTCGTAGCACCACAGACTACACTTCGATACTCTACTTCAGCAATGGAATGAGAAACAACTTGTTTTCGCGATACCTAAGAAACATGATTCGCCCCTAAAGGAATATAGAACCCCGTTGTTGACTGATGATCATCAACATCATATCCCTAATCAGCATCAGCAAAATCTGTGATTGACAACCGAGAAGACTTAGTAAATCTGAGACCATAATCTAAAGTTCCCTGAACATACCTTAGAATACGTTTCACAGCATAAAAATGCTCATCCAGAGGATACTGCATAAATTGACAGACTTTATTCACAGCAAAAGCAATATCAGGTCTCCTAACGATAATATATTGCAAGGAACCTACAATGCCCCTATAATCAGTGGGGTTAACAATATGAGTCTCATTATGGACAGACAACTTGCAGTTTGACACCATTGGAGTGGACAAGCTCTTTGTTCTATCTAAACCACACCGACAGATAAGTTCTTCAATATACTTACGTTGATTCAAGAAAATCCCTTCTGAATTATATGACACTTGCAAACTCAAGAAATGATTTAGTTTACAAAAATCTTTTAGAAGAAAAAACCTTATCAAGATCAGAAACAATCCTTTGAATTTCAGCATTATCATTCTCTATGGGAATGTTGACATTAACATAAACAATAAAATAAAGCAAGCTATCACCACATTTTTTACAAATAAGTGTTGGAAATAAAACACTCACACAAACAACTTTTATTGAAACTCAAACAAATATTACAAGAGTACTCTCACTCAAAAACAAGAACTACAACTCACTCTTATAAGACTTTGCTTCTTCACTCACTTAGAAGCTCTTAATTTTTCTTGATGCTTAAAACTAAAATGGGAAGGGGTATTTATACTACTCAAGAACAATCCTACACCACACAAATAAACTAATTTAAACCATTACAAATTCAACAAATATCTAACTCTCACCTAACTAAATTGATGTAAGCAATGATATCATTAATTAAATGATGTAAGCAATGACATCTTTAATTAAATGATGTAAGTAATGACATCAATTTAGTTTGGGTTTGGGTTTAAGCTCCCATAATGGATCAAGTTTATGATCCAACACCCTCCCTTAAACTTGATCTCGTGACCCCTAGTAGGTTCCTTAATCTTAAGAAGTCTTCGCTGGTCAGTGGCTTGGTAAAAATATCAGCAACTTGATCTTGTGACTTCACATATTCAACTTCCACATCTTTTCTTGCAACACACTCCCTTATATAGTGGTAGCGAATATCAATGTGCTTGCTTCGATCATGGAATACTGGATTCTTTGCTAAGGCAATGGCTGACTTGTTGTCGACACAAACCTTGGTAGGCTCTTCTTGTATCAAACCAACCTCCTTCAATAGATTTCTAAGCCAAATTGCATGACAAACACATGAGGTAGCAGCAACATATTCCGCTTCACAAGTGGATAATGTGACAATCGGTTGTTTCTTTGACATCCATGTGAATGCAATATCTCCCATGAAAAATACGAATCCAGTAGTGCTCCTTCGATTATCTATGTCTCCACCCCAATCACTGTCGCTATATCCAACAAGCTTGTAATCATTAGAAACTGAATAGAACAAGCCAAAGTCAATTGTACCTTTCAGATAGCGAAGAATTCTCTTTGCGGCTTTAAAATGGGTGGTTGTTGGGGATTCCATGTAGCGACTAACCAATCCAACTGCGTGAAGAATATCGGGTCTCGTGCAAGTTAGATAGCGTAGACTTCCTACCAAACTTTTGAAGAATGTTGGATCTACACTTTCGCCTTCTTCATGTTTGGTCATCTTGATCCCGTATTCTGCCGGTGTGCTTATTGGCTTACAGTTCTCCATCTTGAACTTCTTCAGTATCTCCTTTGCATAGCTTTCCTGTGAAATGAAAATTCCATCATTTTGTTGCTTAACTTCAATGCCAAGGTAGTACGCCATGAGCCCCATGTCTGTCATCTCGAATTCTTTCATCATCACATCCTTGAATTCATTAAACATGCTTGGGTTGCTTCCAGTGAAGATCAAATCGTCCACGTAGAGGCACACGATCAAAATATCTTCATCTTTGATCTTGATATATAGAGCATGCTCGTAGGGACATTTGTTGAAACCATTCTCTTGGAAGTACTTGTCGATTCGGCTATTCCATGCCCTTGGTGCTTGTTTTAGCCCGTAAAGAGCCTTCTTCAACTTCAACACCTTGTCTTCATGCCCTTTGACTTCATAGCCTGATGGTTGCTGAATGTAAAGTTCCTCTTCAAGAACTCCATTTAGGAAGGCGGACTTTACATCCATCTGTTGTATCTTCCACTTGTTTTGAGCTGCCAAAGAAATGATTAGTCTGATAGTCTCCAATCGAGCAACAGGAGCAAATACCTCATCATAGTCAATTCCAGCCTTTTGACTATAGCCTTTAGCAACTAATCTCGCCTTGTTCCTTTCAATCTCTCCTTTGGCATTTTGCTTTGTTTTGTACACCCATTTGACACCTATCGCCTTATGTCCCTTGGGAAGTGAGGTAAGTTCCCATGTGTCATTCTTCTCGATGGCCTTGATTTCTTCGTCCATCGCATCTCTCCATTTCTTTTCCCTTACCGCTTCTTGAAAGCTCACTGGTTCACAATCGACAAACAAACAAAATAATGTAAGATTATCTTGTCGTTCAGTTACCTCATAGAGATCTCTAAGGCTTCTTGTGCGTTGCACAACTCTTTCACTTTGACTCCCACTTGACGATGATGAAGGTGATGAGTCTCCTTGAGTGGTTGATGTTGGTGAAGTGGGTGGAGTTGCAAGCTCTTGTTGAGATTCATCTAGTTGCTCCCTCATTGTCTGCTCATCTTCTTCAAACTGAGGAAAGAAATTGAAGTCATCTGTATGAGAGTTAAAATCCCATTCTCCTTCTTCGTTGAAGACAACATCTCGACTAATCACAAACTTCTTATTGTCTGGATTGTATAACTTGTAGCCCTTCGAATTAGCATCATAGCCGATGAAGATAAAACTCTCGCTTTTATCATCAAGCTTCGTTCTTCTCTCGTCTGGTACGTGAACATGGGCTATACTTCCAAAGGTTCTCAAGTGGGAAATGCCAGGCTTTCTTCCACTCCATGCCTCTTGCGGTGTCTTTCCCCATACACTTCTTGTTGGAGATCGATTTGACAAGTAGACTGCACACGATACTGCTTCCGCCCAAAATTCTTTGGGTAGTTTCTTGCTTTTGAGCATGCTTCGTGCCATGTCGAGGATTGTTCTATTCTTTCTTTCTGCCACACCATTTTGCTGGGGGGATCTAGGAACTGTCATTGGTCGACGAATTCCATTTACTTCACAGAACTCTTGAAACTCCCTGGAAGTAAATTCTCCACCTCGATCGGATCTCATGGCTTTGATCTTTCTACCGCTTTCTCTCTCCACTGCTGCT